CGAATGCAGCGGACTCCCTGTAATCAAGTGCAATCTCGGCGACTGCTTATTTACACCTCGGGACTCGTGAAAGCCGCGCAACGAGGCACCGCACAATGAGGCCCGTCTGCAAAAATCATAAACACCGTGTACGGTCCTGTTCATAAGTTCTTACCCGCGCCGCCGGTTCTCAAGTCAGCCGCCGCGCCGCCGCGGAGGAATTAACGATTTATAGCGCGTCGTTTGTTGCTGCAAACACGATATGCAAAATGCACGAATGTACGCTTACACGGACTCCTGGTCGATAGAGTTGGTGTGCCCGTCGTAATACGATATTATTAATATTACGAATATGCACGTAATTATACTCCAGGGAATATCGTTTATCGATGGACGTGATTAAAATTTTTTCTTCTTTTAATAAAAAAAGATTCATTTCGCGGAAAAATTACTCGTTAAGGATAGAAAATGAGGAGAAAATCGCGGCACTATACTAAGTAAGTAAAGTAAAGAGGAGATAAATTTTTACGTCCACGAACGCACGTTAAATTAAATTTAATATCGGGGAGGTAAGCTCTCTCTCTCTCTCTCTCTCTCTCTCTCTCTCTCTCTCTCTCTCTCTCTCTCTCTCTCTCTCTTTCTTATTCGCCGATGCGGCCGAACAATTTCGCGCAGTTAGCCGTTATTTTATTCGTGGAAAACAATTTGGATGCATTGATTTCGCGATTGCCGCGATCAAGTTCGCAATTTTTTTCCGCACACGCTTCGCGAGCGGAGAATGCGCTCGCGAAATGCGCCGGGGAGAGTTGATCGTGCCCGCGACGGACGTTCATTAAACGGACTTGCAGATTCCGATTTAGCTTTGCGTTAAACAAATTCGCACATTCCGTTCCGGGATAGATAAGGCAAAGCTTCCCCCCATTGATGCCCGCCGAAATTAAATTCGTTAAACGCCGTTAAAACGAGAATATCAATCGCACCGTGAGCGTAGCGAAATGCAATCAACGTGGCGACAATCAACGCGGGACCACGCAGAACGGAGGCCGCACGTCACGGATGAGTTGCGGATGCAGCGGCGACTTCCGTCGATGGACCTGTTTGGACGTCACTGATAGACCGACTTTCGCGCGTATCGGTGAGCACAGAATTCCCGGCGTTCACAAAGCGTCAAATTATTTGGAGCGCGCGCGCGCGCGCGCGCGCGGACCTACGTACGCCTTAATTTCCGAAGAAAAAACGAATAAAGAGGCGATTGTGCATAATTGTTAGTTGAAACTGTCGATATTCTCGAAAAGATGGGAATAAAGATTAGTTGAATTAACACGATAATGAGCGAAGCAAACGCGTCTATAGGCTGGAAGAAACGGAATTTCTCGTTCTTAGAATCGAATTTGGTTCACAATGGGATGTCATATGACTGAAAACTTTATCGACAGAATACTGGCTTCTTTCTGCAAAGTTTATGTTGTATCAATTATACGAAATTAAATGCTGTCATATATTAAAATTTTGGTCGCTCATTGTGTACAATAAAACGAAAAAAGAAAAGCGCGATGATTAATTCAAGCATATTTCCTCTCGATATGTTATGAAAACAACAAAAAATTCCAAAATAGATATTTCGAGCTGTCGTTTGAAGTAAATATTTGCCCGATACAAAAGTTTTGCAACTTGCGTAACGTACGAAACGCGTATTTGCTCCGTTCAGAAAAATTTCAAAAAACATTGTCGTATTTTTACAATTGAATCAAGAAGTTTCAAAATATACGAAAGCACAGAGGAAGTTCGCAGAAAAATCTCTATATACATGTAACTGCATTTTTCTCTAAATATGCAACTACTAAAACGAAGCGACACACAACGTGACGTCTACGTTGTCAACATTTTCGACTCTCTTGATTCAATCGACATTTTTTCACCGTTTACGTAATACCTCAAAAATCAAAGGGCAATAATGCACGACAGTTGCAATGCGCGAGTCTTCGTCCCAAAACAACTTTTCGCCCATTAAAGCGGAGCAATTTTCAGTGAGCATCGTCACCGAAAGATCTGCCGCGCCGATACGCGTAAACGTATCGACGGTTGTATCGTGGAAACCGAAGCGGAAACGTTCCGAGACACGCGGCAGACGATCGATCCGGAAGTTGAATCCAACGGGGGAACAATGGGTTAAAGAAAGAAAAAAGAGAGCTGGTCGCTCGATAGACAGATTGGCCGAGTACTTGGACCGACTGGTCCCTACACACCGAGCAACTTTTTCCAAACTTTTTGCTCCTTTCTCATCCAACAACTAACCAACCTCCGACAGGCCGAGCAGATTACATGGACAAGTTCAAATCGCTCGCATGTGTGGGTGCGTGCATGTGCGCGCGCACCTGTGTATGCCGTTTCGGTCTGACAATTTAAAAGTTTCGTGTTTACAGATACCGCTGCTCTTTGCCCGGCTTCCGTCCTGCTTAATATTTAAACACGTCGGGGATTACATTCTCGCAGTGGGCGCACTTCGTGAGTGCTGCCGCGGACGTTCACGCGAACTTTCGATTTTCATCTGTCAAGCGTGCACGAAAATCATCCGAGATCTGTTGTATACAGAGGTGCTTCAATCTCTCACGTTGAAACGTAACAGATTGATGTCGCGTTAAAATGCAGCCGATTTCTCTGTCGCGACGACTCGCCGCGAGAAAGCGAATTTATGATGGGACGCGTGCATAGAGTACGTTAAAATTATTTCCGGTACGTTAAAATTATTTCCAAAAACTCGATTCACCGCGAAAGACATGAAACGCCACGACGTCGTTATTAATCGAATATCAAGCTACATTGGCGCGATTATTCTAATAGGGAATGAACAAAGTAGCAAAGCGGAGTTTATAGATTTATCGTTCATTTTTACATTAATCTGTTTAAACTTATGTAGCCCGCCTGATTAAGCTACTCGCGAACAATAGAAATTAATTATTAAATTAATTGGTGTTAATTTCGCGTAATTATCGGAAACTTTCATATTGGCGGCCAATTACCTTTCGCATGTATTATTGCACTGTTTAATATATCAGCGATATGTAATTCGTGATTAAACTATAACATTATGCGTAGCGATCGTGACACAAATCGCTTAATATGCACTCGATTAATATGTATTCCTCATTATTTTAAGCATCTCGATGACATTGCACGCCATAAGAGTACTGTTCGCGCGATAACGACTTGGCACTCAGCATTTCTGTACGTTGTAATATCGCACCTCTACTCTTAGGCTGTCGACAATGTCGACGAAAATTCTCGTGCACTCTTGGCTGCAAAGCAGTTTTCACACCTTTCTGTCAATATAGTTTGGAACGCAGCCAACGGCCTAATGAAAAAACTTAATTTCTGGAAATTAATCAGGAACAGGTTCTCTAATTGGATTATTGGTTACATTCGAAACTGCGTCGACAAGAAGTGTCCGAGCGATTTTCGAAGCAAGTTGTACAGTGCAGAGCACAACGCTAATTATGAATGCAGAGTATACGGGATCTTTTAGAAACGAAAAATTGTGAAGATTAATCAGATCAGACTGAGAAGAGAAGTGATGTACCATTTTGCAAAAGTCGCAATAGTTATTGAGTTATTAATTATTGAAAATATCCACATCCAGAAGCTCTTTTAATTGATTTAAAGTTTCATTGAACTTGAAAATTTGGGTACTTATTTGCAAAATGGTAAAGGACTTTTTTGTTCAGAATAAATTTTGTTTAGGCAGGATTCAAAGTTCAATATACTCATATTTATCGCTAGACACAATAGCTGTCATATAATAATTGTAGATTAAGTCATTCAAAAAAATCCTTTACCATTTTGTAAAATAAATACGTAAATTTTCAACTTAGTAATTAAAAGAGCATCTAGATATGATTATTTTCAATCATTAATAACTTAATAATTATTGCGATTTTTGAAAAGTAGTACTTGATTTTTCTTCTCAGTTTGACCTCGCATTTTTTCGTATCTCTTCTTTTTTGTAATAAACGACTTTTTCGATAAAATATTTTTATGAGCGAATTCTAGTGACGCCCCTTACATAACATATACTTCGCCACATCATGTTTATTCACGATTTGCGTTCGAGAAGCATGGCTGATATATTTTCTTACATTTTAAACACTCTTCGAATAATAATAATGGTGACCTTGAAGCTACCTTGCTATTAAGCTTTTATTACACCTATAACTAAACTGACGATAAACACAATGAAAATAAGAAGTCAGAAATAAAAACGACGATTTGTCATTCATCGACTTTCACGATTGATGGTGTATATACATAGATAATCATGTTGGATGTTTGCAGTTAAAGGTAACATCATGTTATACAGGGTGTCCGGGATCTCTTGGAAACAAAAAATTGTGAAGATTAATCAGATCAAACGGAGAAGAAAAGTCCATTACCATTTTGAAAATAATTACGCAAATTTTCAAGTTATCAATTAAAAGAGTAATATGCAGTCATTTTCAATCATTAATAACTTAATAACTATTGCGATTTTTGCAAAATGATACTTGGCTTTTCTTTTCAGTTTCATCTGATTAATCTTTACAATTTTTCGTTTCTAGAAGATCCCGGATATCTTGTGCATTCGAATATATTATATAATATAAATTTAATGAAAGTATCTGATCAATCATGTAATATCATCAAATAATATGACCTGAATGTAATTTTTAATGAATCCACCATCTTAGATTTTTTCATAAATCATCACCATAAATATTCTCGTTTCTTTTCTCATTCGTGACTTACCGAATTGTCTCGAAAGGCACGTTCTGATGCTAGATTTGAAACGGAAAAGCAAGCAATTTGAGATTAAACTCAAATTTAATTAAATTTGGGAATTTTTTCAGTTTAACAAATTATTTAGCGTTTAGAGATATGAATGAATTAAGTGTTTGCAAGATTGTGATACGACATTTGTTCTAATTTCCGTGTCTCGATTTTCGATAACTAAGGGTTCAAGAAGAAGTGTAAGAAGTTTTCGAACCTACCTTAGAGCCGACCCTACTCGGCCCGAACTGGATCTTTCGACACGCCACCGGAACTTCAGCTGCCTTCGTGATGAGGTCGCAAAGTTTGTCAGCTCTGAAACAAAAAATAATTTTCCTAATTAGTCACAGCTTATCTTTTTAAGTTTGTGGGAGGTTTTGATGGCTTGTGCATCACATCATCGATATGGAACATGGACGCCGTAAAGATCTTAAGCGACTTGCAATTGCAGTGGATATGCATAATTCCGAAAAACAATACCGAAATTTGAGAAATGGAATGATGATTCAAAAAATCACAATTTCAAAAGCTAAATATAGAGATAATTTCCTGGCAATGCAGGAAGCATAAAGTTATTTTGTAAAGCTATCAACATATTACAATATCAAAATATTACATGTACGATTTTGCAGTTATACAATTCGCTTCTATTTATGCAATTATAATTATATATATAATTATATTATTAATTATTATATTGTGGTCACCATAATTGTAGGTATTATAATTATTATCACAATTACATTCTAATAAATAAATAATTATATATATAATATATATTACAATTTATTATTAGTACTATGTTATAATAATATATATATATATATACATATTACTTATATAACAATTATTATTATTTATATAATTTTCCAGTTTATGCACATATATGTTAAGTCAAAAATCGCCACAAGTAATTATAATGCTAATTATGTTATTTGTACGATTTTCAGTTTAACACGTATACAGATAAAATAGAAAATCGTTATAACTTAGTATAATCGTTACAAACTTAGTATAATGGTAGGATATAAATGCAGTGCATCCTAATTTTGAACATGCATGTCTACCACTTTCGCGTCTAAGACAGATATGATTTCTGTTTGATAAACATGCATTGTTCTGAAAAATAATATACCGAAATTTGGAAAGTGGGGCAATTTCTTGAGAAGCATAATATCAAAATCCAAATACTGAAACAATCTCTCAAAATGCTATTTTACTGAAACATTAAAACTGTCTCGTTGCACAGCCGGGAGAGTTAGTATCTACTCTCATTTGAGTATAACAAGGATATATAAATATTAAATAAGTATAAATAAATATATTAAATCATTTGTATATTTTTTTCTTTTTGGGACAACAGTTTCTTCTTGGAACAAATGTATGTTCTGGAAAAATTGCATTCCAGGACATCGTATGGCTGTTTAGGTTTCAGTACATAATGACTTTTCGGGTAAAATAGACCCATTTTCCGAATTTTGAGTTTTCGATTTTCCGGGACAGAACGTGTCCGCTTTTCTGTAGATTCCTAATCTTGCTTGTTTTTGTCAGCACGAGACACTTTTACGTTTCCGACCATCGTCGAAAAGGAGTCGCACTTGAAGTGATCGTTACGCGATTTTTGTGATTATTCGAGAGAGGCCCGGGAATTGAGCGAATGAATTAACGATTGTATATGTTCTCCCTTTCTTTTAATATTTTACCCGTATCTCTCTCTCTCTCTCTCTCTCTCTCTCTCTCTCTCCTCTCTCTCTCTCTCTCTCTCTCTCTTATTATTCCATTACGCGGCGCTACGATTTCTCGTATCTGCAGCCGTGCCAAGGTGCGCGCGCCACGCTTATTTTCCCTGCTCTGTAATTACTTGGCGCGGAAATTCGCATATCAAGCTCATAATTCAGACGGTCGAATAGTTAACTCCGAGGGAAGAGTCTCATGTCATAGGCCAAGGAAGTTGTATATCTCCGGCTTTTCGAAGTTCTATCAAGTGACGTTCGTGCCTGGGTAAACCGGGGAGAGAACCCGCCGTCGCCGCCGCCGCCGCCGCCGCCGCCCCTACCTGGGTAGTAGCGTGTTTGCCAAAGACGTTTACAACACGGCGTACAGTTGATCCATTTCTCAGCAAATACCGGCACGATAAGAGGAAATCCGACGCACTATACACCTAATAGAGGATTTCGAGTTTCGACGCTACCACCGGGGACGAGGGGGCGGGGGAGAGGGTGGGATTATTTTCGTCGCCGTGCCTCTCCGACGTCGCTTGTGGGGAGAGAGAGGAGAGACACGATCGTTACTAAACTGCTGCTTTAATAAACTGCTGGGAGCTATTTGCGTTTCTTTGCGCCGTTCGTCGTTTACTGACTGAATAAAGTCGAGGTCGTTCGGGCTGGTTGTCTTGAATTACATTCGTCAACAGGTTTGTCGAAGGGACGAAAAATGCGACAAACGGACGTGCGGATGGGTGGACATGTTGGGCGGTCGAAAGCTACAATTATACGGAAGAAATGCAAGTTAATTTTCTTAAAGCCGTTCACTCCGCAATTACTACATACCAACGTAGTCGGATAGGAAGTTGCAAATACGAGGCTGAAGGAAGCGAATATAGTTACCGTTTCCGACTCGGATTACCATGTCAGAAACGGGGAAAGCAGCGTTTTTTCTCACGGTATAGGGTGAAATGAGTGAGCTTTTCCCGTGGCATCATTCGCAATTGAAAAAGCAACCCCGTGAGACACGCTGATAATTTTCTCTCTTTGCTAGGTATAAACCAAGTAATATTAAATTCATATCAAAATTATCGTAAAATATTTTCACTTTTGCTGGAAGCAGGCAGAGTCTGCTGAAATAAATATATATAGTATACACAGGATGTCTGGACTTGAGTGTCCTCGCAGTGGAACTCGTTAAATTGTATAAGAAAATCTTTCACCATTTTGTAAACCGCCACGAGATATTAATCGAGATAAATGAGAGAATTCTACGATTTCTACTTTATTTTATACCGAAGATGTTGAAAAGTTTCTTTATATCATATATTTAATATGCGTGTGATTGTGTACAAACGCACTTAGATTGACCCGTGACCGCCATATTAATTTTTAGTTCTAAAATGCTGGAAGTCAAGTTCCAGATGACGTCACAAACACCGGTCGCTTGAAATGCACGAAAGTTTGGTGGCGCTGGAGTCAGAATCTGAGAGCCAATAATCGGCATTTTCTTGAGCAATTGAGGGTAAAGTCAATTAGAGCCACATTCAAGTAATTCGCCGAGGCATCGCGCCAATTAGACGCGTTTGAAATTTTAGCATTATTGAATATCAGTTCAACTTTTAGCATTTACTCTCAGTGATATTTCTGCCTCGCGATGACGTTCCAGGTTCTCTCCGGTCGTGAAATAATTCGATTTACTTCTTCGAATCCTCCACTTGCCACGAACATGATTGCGTTAAAGTTAATGACTGGACAGTTAAGTTAAAATCGGACATGCGGCATAATACATATCTCGGCGATCTCTCAGATGTTTCAATCGCTCCTTTACACAAGCTTCCCGTTTTTCGGCGTGGCAGTCTGTAACACGCTTGACGTGGCCATCAAGGAGAGCTCTTCTCGAGTCGAAGGAGGCTCTCCAGTCGAACGCACCTGCGCGTCAATGCGCGCCCCGAAATCGGCGAGCAGCGTTTGACCGGCCGATGAGCGTCGGCCCGCCGGCGTGTCGAAGAGATTAACGAAGCGGTGCGTTTTTTTGCGCGGCTCCGCGGCTGGTAGATTGGAGGTCGCCGTGTAGGAGGGATAATCGTCGCGTCATCGTCAAAATACGGCTCGTCTGTGCGCGTCGCATCGCGACGCGCGTTGAAAATCGATTTTGCGTGCAACGATGCGCGGTGACGGCACACCACTTCTTGCCTCCGCCGTCGCAGCCCCGGCTGTGCGCGAACCGATTCCCCGGGCTCGCAGCTGCAGGGGAACGTTAATCGCGCAGGCGAACACGCAGGGGAGAATCAGGTTGCCGGATGACTTCGCAAACCGAACGTCTCTAAGGCGACTCGTATAGATTCGGCGCGAGCTGCTATCTCCTTCTTTCCCGGCGCGTTGGCCTTTCACGAGCGGATGACGATATTCGCCGTTGAAACAGGCGCCGTCGCTCGTCGACGGCGGTTATACGGCGCGCATGGAGGCGACGGGGAGGCGACGTGAAGAGCTAGAATCGTCGCACACCGCGCGGTATTTTATGGCGGAAACGATGACGCACGACTACGTGCTCGACGACCGAATCACGATAACTCTCGCCCCGGGAGGATCTTTTTACATGCGCTTCCTGATCTGTGTCATCGATCCGTCGGCATGTTTTGTTTATGCGCGTCATCGTGTAAGATTTCGGTGTCGGAAGTGAGAAACGTGTAAAGAAAGAAATATACAGATTTATTATATATTGTCATCATCATTTATGAGGTATTTCACAGGATGAAAAATTTGAAGTATGCGAGATAAAAATGCAGAATGTCTCTACGATCCGTTCGCGTTTCCTGTTCAGCCGTTTCGAGAAACGGTTGAAAATACGGAAGAATACTGGAACACATTTCTTTTATTTCGAGGAACTCGCGTTTTACCGATAAAAATTTTCCCTTAGCCCTTCAGAAAAGACGTGGAGGGCAACTTGAAAATTTCAAACGGCGGAAGAATATCGAAGAATACGTCATTTGAAAGGTCTGGTTAAAAAGAGAAAAGATTTGCGTAAGTTTGAAATTGTTATGTTACTGCAATTCAAACTGAAGGCCCGTCAAATTTTAAAAATGATCCTTGAATCTCCTCATTTTAATTCAGGCTTGCAGAATCATAGAGAATCGTGTGAAGCAAAATATTTATATATATATATATATATATATCTACAGTGTTCTACCAAGTTCTATTTTTATTTCCAGTCTTAATTTCCTCTGAAGGAGTTTCAGATTCTCCAAAAGAAACTCTAAAAACAACTCAATATCTAAGCCCCCTTTACTTTTTTAAGGAGAGAGAAACAGCTCAGAGTCTAGAAGCTATTTGTTTCAGAAGGTCAAGGTTGTTAAATAAACTGACTAGTTCCTTAGTTAAAATGTTGAATGCAACCAAAGAAAAGTCTTTGAAAGGAGACCGACAGTTTCCTTGTCAGTTTAGAAATCAATAACAATTGCAAAACAGTGTTTTAATTTGAAAAGAAATAAAGGGTAATATAATAACGAGAGAATGCTCCTTTTGCACTCTCAAAGCGTATATTTTCTGATTAAATTTTTTAAGTACATTCATCTTGTAACAATTGCTTTATTTTGCGAAAGAAAGAAAAAAACCGAAAAAATCCGTGTTGTGAAATATGCCATTTATTTAGAAAGTAATAAAAAACCAATCTCGAAAATAATCGACATAATTGGATAACTATGTTTATAAATTAACGCGAAAGAGTAGAATGAGGAAAAATAAAGAAAAAAAATTGAACGTTCATTATTTTTAAACAATAGACGTCTCAAATCTCTTTTAACAAATGCGGGTGTAACGGGTACATAAACCTGAAAAGAAATTAAACTTTGTGAATGTCTAGTCGTAAAGCGACAAATTTGTGTTTAACATTGCTATCAATTAGTTTATAATTAGTTATAAGGTAAAAAATCATAACTAATTTTCAGCTAATAATAACGTCCACTACTGCTCTTTTAAAATTTCCATAAAGTTTTTAAACCGACACTGGCAAGTTGAAATTTTACATGTCAAATAAAAATAGATGTTACGTCATTTCATAGGAATCTTGAGAACAGCGGAACTCAGCGTTATATTATTGGCAACTAGTTATAAATTTTCATCTCGCAACTGTAACTTCTTTCGCTTAACTTTTGTCATCAGCTAACTTATTTATCTAGAAGAAGTGAGCGTTGTGCATTATACTGGCTAATGACGTTAGACACGAGTTTCTTAGCTTGGCTGGACACCCACGTGGTCCAATTTCTACGAGAGTATTAGCGTAACCATCATTTTACGGGCGACACGCGTCGAGGATTAGCGGTATAAATATAATAACTGATCGATATCGCTTATCACTTGTTACTTGTCATTTATCACTTGTCACTTACCAGCTGCTCCATCGTCGCGCCGGTGTTTTCCGTATCACTTTATCGTCCATTTATTTCCTCGTCGATAGCACCGGTTATACTAATCAGCGCGATTGTCCATTTACTTCACACGTACGTTGACTATTGAGAAACGATCTTACGATTATCGGCAAACAACGAATATCAATGACGTCGCGACAAGCTCGCGCCGATTACGCGCCTCGCGACTCCCGTTGTCGCTTCACACGAGCGCGGAAATCGAGATGTAATTAATCGCGTCGTGTGTGCGCCGCTTAGCATTTCACAACGCTCGGCTGTTATTAGGTCGACACTCCCGACATACGATCGCGCGCGCGTGATTTACATTCGACGACACGGAACACGTGACGAGTACCGAGAGAGAGAGAGAGAGAGAGAGAGAGAGAGAGAGAGAGAGAGAGAACGTTTGCGCAGGCCGAGAATGATCGTGGGTCATCGCTTCATTAGCGCCGCTTTGTCCGTTGCTTCTTGACGAACTCGAGCGACGTCGCTCAATTTCTCGCGAGTCCGTACGCGGGATCCCCTTTCATTGTTTTGCAAAAGTATGGAATTTCTGATGCGTCATTAATTAATTGTCGACTCTGTGCGTTAATTAACGCTTCGCGTAACGGACCGCTCATTACTAGAGAGATCGTTGTTCGCGACGCGCGTCGATCGCGTGCACGCGCGCGCGCGCGTGTTATTTACATTCGACGACGAAAAACACAGCGAGGCGAGCGCAGAGAGAGAGAGAGAGAGAGAGAGAGAGAGAGAGAGAGAGAGAGAGAGAGAGAGAGAGAGACTGCGGAGTTCGACGACACGCGTTTGGTTGCACTGGTCGTTCGCTAGTAGCGCTTTCGTGTCGTTTTTCAGGAAAATTTTATTCGGCGACTCGCGAAAAAATTGGCGACAACTTCTCGCTGCTAATCGCCGCTCTCGTTTTGCTAAGCGGAACGTACGGAAATTGAAATACATCAGCCGCGCGGATGGAGATTTAATCGCGCCGAAATTAACGATCGCTATCGTCCGTTACTAAATGAAATGCACTCCTGGCGGCACGTCGTCGCGCGCGGAATTCACATTCGGCGATGGGAAATACGCGGCGAAAGTTCCTCGTTTGATATCGTGCGCGCGCTTCACTGTGCAAAGGCGCAGACGACTACAAAGCGACTGCCGGATCGAATAACTAAGCAAACTGCCGGCGTCCCGCCGGCGTCGTTTTCAGCTTGAGTCAAGTCGTATTATTGTCTAATATCGTGTTATATAAGGCAGTCTCTTCTATGTATCAACACACAGAGTGAGCGGAAATCATCGGAACGGTATACATTCTCCTTGTTTTTCGTGTATTATTGACACAGTCGCTTGGGACGCGACGTCGACGGACTAATTGTTACAGGTTAATGTGCAATTGACACGTACACAGATCTCTTGACCGTATTGTTTAGGGGAAATTTTAATGATGAGAATTTTAAGAATTTTATATTTAACGCGAACGCGATGCAAATGTCAGCGTTTCGGTCGATCAGCAGGCGCGAAAGTATTTCATTCCCGGGCAAAATATTTTGCACCGCTAAAATTCATTTCTACTTTTATTAATCTGTCAATAATTACGAGCTTGTTAATTAACTCGATTAATTTTAATGCCAGTAATTTAGGACACGCGACACACGTTAGCCGCGCGAGGTTGGACCTCGGATTTTTTCCGCTCAATGTGTAGCCGCGCGCCGACATAATCCAATATAGCTGCAGCGAGACCGAGAAGTCTGAAATCTGAGAGAAGACGCGAGAAAGTTTCCGCGACGAAAGGAGAAGCGGGCTCGCTGTCGCGCGCGATGCGACAGGATATGAGCATGTATCACGGGTATAAAGGCGGTGGTTAAGGGGAATATTGTATTAAAGCGGCACGCGTCAGAGCAGAGTGAATGCAGCGAGAGCGTGCGCTCGCTTTCCTCGAAATTCTAAATTCCCCGCAATGTCGTCCGTTATGAACGAACGAACACATTTAATGCAACGCTCGTGAGAGCTCGTGAGAGATGTCGAATTACGAAGGATTTGTCATATGAAATATGAATACCTTCCTTTTTTCTCCTTCTCCTTCTGTTTAACGGAGCACTCGCGCAATGTGAGATTAGGTTAGGTTATGGCCAAAAACGTACGGTTGTACGCAAACGTACGGGCAAACCGTTGTTATTCGCGTGATATCCCAGCGGATCGCAGTTTCTGTGACGTATTGGATGATAAAGCAAAAGTTCTGATGGATTTTGTGACGGAAGAACAGACACTGGTAGTGTTTTAAAAGTAATTTTATTCGCAACAATTTATTCATTCTACCAAGTAATCTCGTCATTCTTTTCTCTGCTACATTATACAGGGTGCAGCAAAAGTACCGGATCGTTGAAATATCGTCGGAAACGAGACATTTTAGAACAAAATGTTTCATACAAAAGTTGTAGGGTTTTAAAAAATACATTAAATGCCGATATTTATTTGCGCGTGCGTGCGTGCGTGTTTGTGCGCAAGCTCCAGCAACACGCTGTTGGTGGGGATACGCTTGCAAGCTTCGGTAACACGCTGTTGGTGGGATAGGCTTTACGCTCATGGGCTCCTTTTCTTTCAAGCTTTGGTAGAATTTTCTTCAGAATAAAATAATGGCTACGTTGTCGGAAAGAGAACACATTTATTTGTTGATAATTGACAATTTGAACATCTAATATAATTATTACCAAAAACATGCACCCGCGCACGCGCACATGGACACACACCAAGCTACCCCCATGCGGTATACCTTGGATAATGCCATGCTAGTGCCGGCGGTACTTGAACTTCATCAACTCATATCTCGAAAAATACTTGACGAAAAATAATAATAATGCTTATAGTGTTTTGAAAAGCTCTCGAGATAAGCTATAAGAATATACGATGAAAAATTGGGCATTCTATTTAAAAATTTTAACCTAAACTTGAGAGCTTCCCCAAGCTTATGTTCAATGTCAAATAAATATCGGCGTTTGATGCATTTTTTAAAACCCTACAATTTTTGTATGAAATATTTTGTTTTAAAATGTCTTGTTTTCGAGATATTTAATTGGCCCGATACTTTTGCCACACCCTGTATAGGATGTCTGAGAAATTTTGGACCAACCAATTTGTACAGGTAGAACAGGTGAAATTGAACCATAAAGTCATACAATTTTCCAAGAATCGCAATAGTTATTAAGTTATTAATTAATCTATCTGAGCTTATATATAATATCTGGGCTAATGAGCGCATGGGAAAAATGGTAGGCCGAGCTCGGCAGATCGCAAGATACTGTGATCATCTTTTGTTTATGATCGTTGTCTACGACAATGATTCGACGGACTCGTCTTCAGCCACATGAAATCGTTTGATACGCGTCGTACTCCTCTGCGACAAAAAATAAAATTCGCTCCAGAGAAGTATACCGATATAATTATTGCTTTCGGGCTAGCGGGAGAAAATGCGCGTCTGCCGCAGCTCGCATCTGTGCGGAATGATTTCCCGAGCATGTAAGACATTCGTCGAGAAAAAGTGATTTTACGTATTTTGCGTAGCAGCGCAAAAGTTACGTGAGACTGGGTGTTTAGTGCATAACTGTAGAGCGCAGCTAGTGCATTAGTGTATCTTATCATTGAAGATGAAGAAAGAATCTTGTGTGTTGACCCGCCTCATGCAATCAGCTGATTGTTACGAGTATTCAGAAGTAAGTCATTTGTTTTGTCTATTGTTTTTATACGTAGTTCTGTCGTAGTTCTGTCGAGTCCGGCCTACCGTTTCCCGTGCACTCATTGGCTCAGACGTTTTAATTAATAACTCAATGACTATTACAATTCTTGGAAAATTTTATATGACTTCATTGTTCAATTTCATTTGTTTTACCTGTACAAATTGGTTGGTTCGAAATTTCTCAGATTCTCGAAAATTTCTCACTTTGTATATCTAGATATTTGTAAGTATTGCCTTAAAATTGGATCATATCTTTGAGAAATCTGTCGAAACTTTTGCAATCGGTCAATACGATACTCAGTACGCGTTACTCGGGCAATATTCTAATGGAATGCTCATGATTTGAAAAAGGTCCTTGGATTGAATTTGAGCGAAGAATATGCAAATAAACTCGAGCACACTATGAAGTGGTATTAGCGTTCGTTTCTAATCGCTAAGAATTTCGAAATGATCAATGTTTCCGTAGTTTCGATTCAAAACTTTGCAAACCGCAGATTGTATTTATATCTTTATTGCAAAAATGATCCTGTAATAATATATCAAATCTTAAATATTAATTAAAAATAATGAAGAAGCGAAAAAAATAAGGCACTTTTGATATTCATTATATTGAAAGCATAATAGGTTTTAATTATCTATTATTATATTTAAAGCACAAATTGAAGATTAATCATTACTGGATATTAATAAAAAAATTAATATGCGATAATGATAATTTTCGACATTGTATTTTAAAATGCGATTTATTATAAGCGCGTAATAAATATTCAATGCTTCTCTTCTGCGACGACATCGATCATTAAAAGACTTAACCAAATTTTTACGAGTTGCTACCACTTGCACTTGAGTTTTAATCATAATTACAACAATCTTCAGTTTTAAGATTTATATAGGGTGTCCAGGATCTTTTGGAAAAATAACGAAAAATTGTGAAGATTAATCAGGATCAAACTGAGAAGAAAAGTCTAGTACCATTTTGTAAAAATCGCAATGGTTATTGAGTCATTGATGATTGAAAATGATTACATTTAGAGGCTCTTTTAATTGATAACTTGAAAATTTGAGTATTTATTTGCAAAATGGCAAGGGACTTTTTTGTTCGGAATGACCTAATCTATGATTATATAATGGTTATTGTGTCTAGCGACAGATTCAAAATTCAAGGTTCAAAGTTCAATATACTCATATCTATCGCTATATATTAGGCTTTCCAAACGTACAATCGGCTGCAAATTAATTGAACGATCTACAAGAGCTGCATAGGTTAGTATTGGTGACGAATCATTTTTTGCGAAAGGATAACAATGCCGCACGCACCGAGGTACATATTTTCTCAGTCTTAAACATACATGGGGCATTAGACATTTGTCTATCGTTGAGTCGACTCCGTATCCTGCTCATATTGCACTCTAGATCCCACAGCCCAATTTTAACATGTTGCTGATATTTTTAGCAATATCGCGTCACAAGCCACGACAATGAACACGTCGAGCGACATGCCATGATGTCTCCGCAGATTTGAGTCAGCTTGTACAGCGAAGAGGAGGGTTGCCGCAGGCGACTGGCAAGGCGAAGGTACATAAGTCTGGCAGCGTCGAAAAGGAAAACTCCTCGAGGCCCTGATACAATGCGGCATTGGAATCGGATATAAGGAATAAGAAATATTACGAGAGATCTGTAAGGCCAAACCCTCGCGGTAAACAATACACGATATGAGGAAGGAAAATTTATACTCTTTTTTTTTCCTTATATCCTGCGCCCGAAGGATTCGTATTCGTAGCCAGGCTCGTTACTAAATCCCAAGTTGAAGACGTAAATGCACGTGCAAACGTTTGCGCTTTCGACCGCGTATCTACATAACCGAGAGTCTCTCCCGAGAGGGAGAGGCGAGCTCGAAATGTCGGAGCGATTCTTCGCTGCGTCCGCTCGGCGCGATCGCTCGAGGATTAACAGCGGAAACTCGCGTATCGCCTCGTAACCGGGAAGAAGCGCTAATTTCGGATCCATGCAAATCATCCGGGCATGCCGTTCGCCCCGCCGAATCATCCATCCTTGGAAACTTTCTGTTTGCTCACGGCGCAAGAACAGCGGGAAGATGAAACTTGTGGTATCAACATCAATCCGAGATCGCGGCGGAGTTCAGCGAAAAAGTTTCGGTGGCGATGCTCGCGCAATGAATTCGAACGGAATAACGTAGGCGTAACGTTATTCACTCGAGAGGAAACGATCGAGGAAGAATGAGAGGGGGAGGGGGGGCGAGGGGGAGGAGAACGAAGGTGAGCATCGTGGAACCCGAGGAACCACGAGCGGCTGAAAGGAGGGCGAGTGCGAGGGTGAGAGTGAGGGTGAGTCGGCGGGGGCCAGGTGGTGGGGCGAAGTGAATGCAGCAGGTTCGCAATCATGCGAACG